CCACCAACCGCCTCTTCCCCTCCTCACACTTCCTCCCCCTCCTCAGTGGGGGGGCACAGAAGGCAACAAATCCCACTCAAATGCCAGTTCAGACTCTTGCCACCGACCCCAAGATGGACACACTGCCCAGATGGACGAGCGCTCCCCTTCATCACAGTCGTCCAGCGACAGCCGCTCTTCTCCATCTAAGACTTCAAGCGACAGCCGCTCTACATCATCTCAGTCGTTCAGTAACAGTCATTCCTCTCCATCTTACACATCCAGCGACAGCCGGTCGCCTGCCTCTCAGTCATCCAGTGATGGTTGCTCCACACCATGTGAAGACAGAGCTGACCCCAGGTCATTTCAGCAGAACGTCAGCCATCTACCAAGTAGACATACTCCAACGAGCACTGAGAAAGTGAAACTGACACAAAGAAGTGAAGGTGAAAAGCAGCTGAACATGAAAAATTTGGAGGACCTCAGTTCCCTAAAACACAATCAGAGGGGGATGAAGAAACATGAGAAAGGAAGAGGAAAGGAGTCATCGATTCCTACTGCTGACTCAGCAGATGAGAGGCGAAAGGATGAGACGGGTCACGACACTGGACCCAATGCCTGCAAGGATGGCACACCAGTACAGGATGGAGCAACTGCCAGCCATGTGTTAGAGTCAGTCCAGCCTCCTCTGGAACCAAATAAATCTTTAGATAAAGACGGTGAAAGAAAAAGCAGAAAACAAAGAAATTTGGAAGTAGAGAAACGATGGGGACAAGACAAGGACTCAGACTCCAAACAAGAAGTGGCGAGACAGCACAATGTAAAGGCCAGTAAGGAGGCTGACAGGATGGACACAGGCAAGTACAGAAACCTTGAAGGCATAAAAGCTTGTGACACTAGATGGGAGAAAAATAGAAAAAGAAAAGGTGACGATATTGAGAGAAATAAAACCTGCAAAAGTGAATCTCCTGATCCATTTGACGGAAAGAAGCAAAATGCTGAGAAAAAGAAAGAGAGAAAAACAGTGCCTCTGACAGAGAGAGACATCTGGGAGGGAGGGATAACGGTGAAACCACTGAAGAAAATAAACATCTACATCAACCTGGATGCGAAAAGGAAGGAGGAGAAAACTGAACAGGAGCGGTCATATTCAGAGGGTATCACAGGGAAAGCACAGGAGGAAATCGAGAAGACTGGTGATGGAGAAGAGGAGAAGTTAAAGAGAGGAAGCACTGAAGCTCAAGATGGTGACAAGATGCTATGCGGCAGAGCAAAGGAAGGTGTGTTTGAAGAAATAAAGTCAGGTGAGGTTGGGGCACAAGAAGTGTCGGAGAAAGGCACCATCATAGATAATCAGGGAGAGAAGATTTCAGGAGGGGGAGAATACATCAGGGAGAGGAAGGAGCACAGAGAAGAGGAGGACTTTGACTTGTGGCATTGTGCCCTCAGAGGAGCCGCAGAGGAGAAGAGTAAAAATCAAAGGGAGGAAGGAGACAGAACAAAGACCAGCAAAGAAGAAGTGACAAGAGACCAGAGGAGGACCATGATGGAAAAAGAGGAAGGAGAAGAGAGGACATGGAATGAAAGCCAAGGAAAAGAGGTGGGAGAGTTAGTTCAAAATTGTCAGAAGGAGAAGGCAGAGCGAGACAGCACATGCACGGACAACAGAGGACACCCACCGGGCGAGTCGAAGCCAGAGGAGGAGCTGAAGGAGGGAAAAGAAGAAGACGCAATGGGGTCCAGACTAATGAGCCGCTGTGACAGATCTAAGACTGCAGTGGATGATGGCAGGTCAGAATGGAGCCATGGTGGCTGCTGCTGCTAAAGGCCTCCAGTATGACACAGGATGACTGAAAGCCTTTTACTAACAGAGACAGGTACTAATTCAATGTTGCACATGTGTTCATTTTGTCTTAAATGCTGCAGCTGTGAGGATCTTCAGGAGAGGACGGCGCAGGACAGAGCTGCAGAGGGGGAAGACGAGCTCGTGCTCATACAGGTGTGTCTGTGAGCACCCCACCAAAACGTGTGGGTTGATTCTTATCATGACCAATGGGAACGGAAATAAGCAATTTGCAGGTCTCAAAGAATTAAAAAGCATTGAATTTAGTTTTTTATCTAAAAGTCTGAAGGTTTTAATTCCTAACCTTCCATAGGTCGTAATTACATCGACAGTTCTAAAGAGTTTTTGTATTTGATTTTAGTAAAAATATTCCTGCTCCTAAACCAGGTCCAGGCCATTTTTAATGATTCATTCATGATACTGTTACAAATTATTGTAATACATCACCTGACCAAAATATTAGAGCTGCAAAGAATCATTTGTATTATTGATTAATCCAGTCTTAATGATTCAGTTTTTTTTCTTTGTTTACCTAAAAGATGATTAAAATAATAATTTAACCGATACGTCAGATGTCTTTTGTCTGACCAACAGAACTCGGATGTTTAATTTATTATCATATATGACAAAAGAGTATACAAATCTTCACATTTAAGAAGCAAATATTTGACATTTGCTTAAAACTGACAAAGGATAACTCAAGAATTCAAAATAGCAGTTGAATAAGTCAGTGGACTCATCCTTCCAGCTATGTGCATATAAATATTAAATTCATGGTTGTGTTAAATAGTGTCATTGTCCCTGGTTTTCCATCATACGTTGACCATCGTATGTTGTACATTTATCTTGGTGAGCTCTGCAGAAAGCTTAAATAAACCATTTGTATTCTTCACATTCACTGTCATATGTGTTGTGTGTAATTTTAATTTCCTCTGAACTTTGAACTTTTCTGTTTTTGACTCTGTGGAGAGCTTTTTTTTTTTTGTTTTAGGGGAGTATTAAAACACTAGAACCACAACACATACACATGCACAAACAAAAGCTGCATCTTGTCTCACTCACATTTTACGTTTCTGCCTCAGGTCCCTCGCTCCAAACTTGAGAAGGAAGAGCCTGAAGAAGAGGAAGAAGATGGAGAGATCGCACCTGTGGTACCAACCAGCCAGGAGACGGAGGAAGAGAATGTTCGAAAGAGTCAGAGGTCAGTGGACATGGAGAGAGACAGGGACAGAGCACTGCAGAGAGGAAGGGGCAGGGAGGAGGATGAAGATGGCACCATGTCCAGTTCGAACAGAAGTGTGGCTCCCTCTAGTGGCAAAGATGGACCTAAAAGCTCCTTGTGTACAGACAGGGAGAGGGAGAAAGGGGTGGAGAGGCGGAGGGACAGAGAGAGAGGAAGGGAGAGTGATAGACAGAAGGTGGGCAAAAGGCCAAGAGAACGAAGGCGGGAGGAAGAAAGAGAGAAGGACAGGTGGCGAGGGAGGGAGCGCAGCAGCACTATCTCAGCCCAAAAGAGGAATCTTCCCTCCTCCGGTCACTCTTCCTCAATGTCACATGACACAGAGCGGAGAGACAGGCAGCATGGTGGAAGAAGGGAAAGAAGCTCAATAAGCAGAGCTGCCAAACCACCTGATCAAAATGCTTACAAAACATATAAAGACACAATACTGGACTCGAAGTGTAAAGACAAAAATCATGATTATCGAGATCAAGCACAGAACTACAGACCTGCTGGGACCCACCACTCCTCATCGCTCCGCTCCCACAGCCAGGGCAAGAACAGAGACCAGCCCCGCTTTGAATGCTTCGGCCCAAAGCCCAGAATGAGCAGCTCCGGTTGGGAATTCATACAGAACAGAAGTAGAAATGAGAGCAAAGATGAGACCGGGGTTTGGAAGCCAGACAAGGTGGATGAAGTGATGAAAGAAAGCAAAGAGGAGCAAGAGGCTAAAGGAATGGAGACCGAGAGAGAAGGAGGTAGTCGATGGGAGGATGAGACTGATAAAGTGTCCAAAGAGACCAAGTGGGAGGGAGAGAGAGAGCTGGAGGAGGGAGAGAGGTCCAGCAGCCGCAGCAGCGGCTCATCAGCGCGCCAGGACCACAGCAAGGACGGCAGGGGGAAAGAGAAGAAGAAACACAAGAGACAGAGGAAGCACAAAAAGGAGGGGAGAGGAGTCATGGCTGAGCAGCTGGAGGGAGGAGAGCTGAAAACACACTAGGAGTCAGACAAACGGAGCCGAGGAAGAGGAGGGAAAACCACGCTAGCCTCCACTCAGTTCTCTTGTCCTTCCTGTCAGGGACAAAAGATCAATTTACTTGAATGATGTTTTTCCTTTCTCTGCCCAAAAAGTGCCTGGATAAATTTTTTTTGACTTGTTTTATTTTTCCAGAATACTTGGTCTGTCCTATCAAACATGCATCATCCAAAAGGAAGGTGAGCTGACTGTGAAGGAGAAGCACTTTTACTATGTAGAAGGAAACAAATGTGAATGAATCAAAGTCTTTGACATCTTTAAGTTTGAGGACTTTGCACATGCTCTCATCTTGCTCAGGACTGCCAGCAGCTGGTTCCTGTTCACTGAACCTGTGATGTTACAGCTTGCATTCAGGAACTCTTCTATTTTGATAAACGCTCCATCAGATCATTTAATTCACCTTACATAGCAGCACAGGAGTGCACATAAAGGATTGTTTAAAGAAAATGGGATTTTAATTTTAAAAGTAGACACTGTGAATATTTATGATTTGAACCTGTGTTTTTGTTTTGTTTTATTTTGTAAATGTTTAATTTAAAAACTGCTGGAAGGATGAATAATTTACTAGAAAAGTTTAGTTTTTCCTCTTATGTAAGAAATTAAAAGAAACATCCTTAAAAGTAAGTGTTTTTTTTCTGAAATTCATTATGTTCCTTAAAAGAAGCAGGATATATTATTGTAGCCTGTACAGTAATGTGGCAGCAGCACTTTGAGCTCTTTGACTGCTCTTTATCTGCTGCCACACTTTGTTTGGCCCAACATTTACTGGGTGACACAGGTGGATGTCCCCCAGAAAGTTCTTGGTCATTTTCAGTTTCATTGTACATGATGGAGAGTTTGATAAAGCAACACCACAGGGCCCCCTACACTCCTTTTAGGACTATAATAATGAGAAACTACGCTCACATAGCTTTTCATTTATCAGCCATCAGTAATGCTGTCCTTTATATCACTAAGTTTTGTAACAGAAATTTAAAACAGTTTAGTATTAGGACTGAAAAACACCTTTATCTCTTGCTTGTAGCCTCTTTACAAATGTAGTCATTGAATTAGTTCATATCAGAATCAAGTTTTGTATTTGCCATTTGTTACTCTGAATAAATAACGGTTTAATGTTCCTAGAGGCTTTGCTTTAAATTTAAGGTTTTCCCACCTTCTTTGTGTGTGTCCCACTATCATAAGTGTAGAATGAATGATCCCTGAACATGTTAGTTACCACTGTCTGCGCGCTCATCTTTGCCTTTGTTCGTGTCCACTCTAGACTCTAGTTCCTCTCTCTCCACCTTTTCTGTAAGGATGCCCGCACTGAACACAGCAAATATATTTTTCTAGTTTCACTTTACTCCCTCTTTGCACAGTGATCGTGCTTTAAAAGTTTAAAAGAAGACCTCAACCAAACATGATGTGACCGTAGACGGAGGTGTGCTTGCGTTCAGTTTTCAGCTAGTGGCTGTTAAACTTGCGGTTTTTGTTAGAACAGGAGGCGCAATCATGTTTGAAGAAATATGAAAGCTGTGTTCAATATGCCTGCTGTCTGTGCTGGCTTCGGTTATTGTGCCCGCTGTGTGTGCATGTGTATGTGTGAAAGTTGATGCTTGAAGTGTATCCAAGCTTTTCTCGCTTCATTAGCTCATTACACAGAAGATGTGGCAGAGTTCCAGATTCTGTCTCGCTTTCTGTCTCCTCTGTTTTTCTGTTGTGACTGCAATCACTCGATGTCGTGCCAAGGCATGCTGGGAATAAACAGAAGAAATCTTGTGGGTCTGGAATGCCCAACTTGGCTTGGACCCAAACATTTGATGGAGAGGTGCAGGGGCACGCAGGTGCTTGGCATCTTGAATGCTTTATCAAATAAAGCTGTCATCTCTAATTGCCTTGTTTTGCACCACTGCATGTCCTCCAAAATGGCTGCTAAACTTCACAGGCTCCTCAGCTTCCCACCTCACCCCTGCTTCCTGTGGTTTCTATGTTTCCTCTGCGCTCTTTTGCTCTGAACCATTTTGTGTTGTTGAGTCTAAAATAGCTGTTTGTTTCTGTGCTTCAGAGTCTGCAGTATGTGTGTGTTTGCAAATGGCTAATGCTGCAGCAGACAGAGGCTGTATATGTACAGCATATGGCAGACTGACTACTAAAGTGACAGACAATCACAAAGAGAGAGAGCAAAAAAGTTACCTGCAGATTAAGATGTGAAAAATACTACAACAAGGGCACATTAGCAAATATGAGACATGGTAGACAGACACACACAAAGATCCAGGCAGGCAGAAGGACAGACAGACCGGAGGACCCTGTAGCAATCAAGACCAACATCCCTGCTGCTGCTCTCCCTGTATGGTGTGGATCAGAAACGAGGTATGCTTTGTCAGATTTATCTCTCAGCCTTCTTTATTTCTCTGTCGTCCTAACATCCATTGTGCTTATTTTCTTCATCTGTGCTTATTTTAGCCTCTTTTTTTGTTTTGTCTTTCATTCTTTCGTCTGGGTTCCCTTCCATCCTTTGTGCCAGTGATGAGTGCCGACGTCTCAGGGCGCTGTGCCAATGCTGCCTGATGAAGACCAGGCTGTGCGTTCTCTTGTTTGCGTGCGTATTGGTGTATGCAGATTAATTTGTACGGGGCCAGTGGCAGCTGCAAACATTTGTTTGTTGCGTTACAACCATGTGGTGCTCGAGTAAGAGACCGGCTGCCAGTCTGTGCTTTGAGATAGTGAGTCTTACTTTGTCATTTGGATGTTGTGAATAATGTGCATTCAAAGTGTTTTTTGTAAGAAGAAATAGAAGAGAAACTAATTAAGTACAACAAGCATTAAGCTGCAAAAGAAAACATGCAATGTCCAATTAGCAAGACGGAAAGAAAGAGCATAAGATCAGTGCATTTCGTCATAGTGCACGATTGTGCAATGACGAGCAGGAACTGCTTTGAAAATGATCCATGTTGGTGCATTCAAGGACACACCAGTGTAACTTTACAGTGTTTGTTTTCCTCCTTAATTTGATTTTGTGACATCATAACTAATCAGTTTGTTGCTGCCCAGTAGCTTGGACACTGACCTGGCAAGAAGAATTCTTAAAATGGGACATGCTCTTGAGTTCACAGTTGCTCAGTATACAGTATCGTATGTTCAGTGAGATGAAAAGTAACTTGAAATAATCTCAGAGTGAAAACATACTGGCCAACAGTAAGGGAAAGTGCAGTCAAATTCTAATCACCATCAATAAATACCATTAATATGGTCTGTTGAATGCCAGTTGTAGAGGGCACGGTGTGTCACTATTGGGTGCAGCATGAGAGTCCATCAGAGCATTGGGACCCAAAAAAGATTTGCTCCCACAGCTTTTTGAGTTGTTTTGGCAGATTTCGTGTAGTTGACTACAACAGACAAAGAAAATAAACAGCTCACGGTGAAAACCAGAGAATATGTGCCTTGCTCCAGAAAACCAGCACAGTAACACACATGCTGTGTGGACTCTGTCATGTCTTTCAGCGGCTCAGCAGCCTCAGTGGACTCACTGACCTACATGTGACCACAGCAGTGTGGGTCTGCTGTGACAGGACTTTCCTGTCAGTCACAGTCAGAGCTGTTTTTCAGTCATTCTTGGGTTTAGCACCCTCTAGTGGAAGGTTATGGTAAAACAGGCTGCAGTTGGCTCAGCAGTGGAATCAAAGCCAAAATCTAAATATAATCCAGCAAGTCCAAAGTCCCAGCTAAATGTCCTTCAGGTGGATTGGTATTGTGCAGATGCACTTCAGCAAAGCGCAAGGCAACATGATCAGACAGAAATACTCTTTCTGTAACACCCTGAAGATTCTCAGTGATTTGTAACTTTTAAATACTATAATGTGAATAGCTAGTATTTTGGCTGGTTAGTCAGTTTCCTCTTTCTCTCTTTCTGTGTGTGTGTGTGTGTGTGTGTGTAATGGAGTGCCAGGAGGAAGTCTGCTTTGAAAGAAAGAGTCTCAAAGAACGGCAGATGTTGCTCTGCTAGTGATGGTGTGTGTGTGTGTGTGTGTGTGTGTGTGTGTGTGTCTGTCTGTCTGTGTGTGGTGGTATGCACAATTGTGTCTATGCAAATTAGGCCTGCTTTGTTATTTCTTAATCTTGTATGGTATTTTACATTTGTAATGTGTCCTGTCAACATGTGCATCATTGTGTGTGTGTGTGTGTGTGTGTGTGTGTGTATGAGTGTGTGTGCGCGTGCACTCCTGCCTTGCCCTGTCTGTGACCACAGCTGTGTGCAGAATAACAATGAGCATCTCAGGCTACACAGTGTGTGTGTGTGTGTGTGTGTGTGTGTGTGTCTTTGCCCAGGGCTAGTGCTGCCCTATTGAGTTTGAGAACAGATTTAGATCCCACCTTCTCTCTTTTCCTCCTTTGGTCACAGATGCACTACAGAACAGCGCTGGTGAGTTTATGGTAAATCTTCCAAAAAGTCACGTCAAAAATGAGCATCGAGGAGGAAGAGCATGAATAGGACAGGGTGTTGGGAAGTTCAGCTTATTTTCCAGGGTCTGGCAGCTGCGTGTCTTGAAGCAGAGTTCACATATTACAAAATGACACAGACGTTTGTTTCTGTTTGGGTACATGGAGATGTCCTGTTCAGTGCTGCTCCAGAGTCGCTTGTTTTGTTCATGTAAATGTACAGAAGACTGTATTAATGAACCATTCAACCAAATATAATGCTCCATCTTTACTTTAAGACATGAAGATCAGTCCGGAAACTGTCAGGAACACTGGTGGTGCAGTGGTTAGCAAGAAGGTTCCAGGTTTGAACCTTTCTCTGTGGAGTTTGTATATTTTCCATGTCTACTCTGAGCACTCCAGCTTCTTCTCACAGTCCCAAGAGGTTAGGTTAGTTGATGGCTCTTAAGTTGCCCGTAGGTGTGAATATTAGTGGTTGTCTGTCAGCTGTTTGAAGGCCACGATTTGCTAACCCCTGGACATTGGAACATGGCGTAACCTCTCACACTAAGGTGACATATTATGGCCTGTCCAGGGAGTAGCCTACCTCTCATCCATTGTGCACTTGTACTTGGAGCAGATCACTCAGTGAGAAAAAGCTCTGATCTGTGAGTATAATGTGTGTGTGTGTGTGTGTGTGTGTGTGTGATGTCTACATTCCGCTGTACTCCTGATAGGATGCAGCATTCAATTTAATTAGCGTGTCCATGGTGACGGTTCATTAACATGCTGAACGGAGTAAAAAGAGGGGCAGTTATGGGAATTATGCA